GAGCATGTCAGTTCACACTTCAGAATCAGTTTCTTTGAGAATATCTGAAGCTATTTCTCTTTCAGTGAGGACAATGCCATTGCTCAATTGTGCAGCATTAATATTTAATACCTAAAAATTAATGCAGTTTCCCGGAGGGAATGTGCTCGACAATTTTAGGTAGTGGAAGACCTAAGGAGAAGCAGACTGAGACGATACAGCTCACTGAGGACATGACCGTAGATAGGAACCATTTTAGACCGAGGATTAGAGTTATAGGGTAGACTTTGTTTGAACTGCTTTGCTAGGCATTTAGGTCTTCCCAAGGTTGTGTGGGTGTCCCTGTTGTGGCCTTCATTATCCTCTCTTGTTTATGTTTATCTGTGTGTTTTTAGGACTACTAGTAGTGTGTGTTTTCAGTTCTTTGAGTTTGAACAGGGGGCCAAGGGGTAAGGTTTGTGTATGCCACCTTCCCCATAACTCATTTGTGGGATTCTAATGGGTTATTGTTGTTGAGTGATACATGTGGTGGCATTACCTGTAATAGCAATATCATCAGCAAAAACTACCAAATAGATGCATTACTCTATTGCAGAATGTTGGGCCATCATCAACAAGAATCTGAATCATGCCACATGCACGAACTATACTACTGAACCTTCCATTCTCTAAACCATGCATGAGGAGATTTTATCAAATCACACTCTATAAAGAAGATGCAATCTACACGCGAGGCCACTTTCCCCTGAGTTACAAGCCTCATAGTTTATTTGTGTTTTTTGTTGATTATTTAATAAAATTAAATATTGTTGTCACCTCTGTTTTGTAAAACTTTTGACGTTGTTTTTAAATGTGTAATTTTTATTTGTATTTCTATACCAATTTTAAATAAAATGAATTTTAAAAAACCTGGGATTTCACCTCATTTTGGCTTCCATGAAAGTCATCTTAGATAGAGGATAAAAATCTGCTCGGAATGTAGATAAAAAACAACTAAAAATCAAACAGTAAAAAACATGGATTATATTCTTAGCGAAGATTAAACAAATAAAGAGTGAAGTTACTAGCATTTGCAAATTTAAAAAAAAACAGAAAATACAAGAGATGAGTCATTTGCAGGGATATGGAATACCTCATTGGAGGGTGGTTTGAAACTAAAGGATATGGGAAAGGCTATCAGCAAATTATTCAACGAAGGAGAGCTTTGATGGAGATGAGTGATTTACTAAAATCGAAGGAGATGAGACCTTGATCTGTGATGAGGCTTCATGTGATGCGGTGTTCAAGGTGTGAAGGGGCTAGGGTTTCAAGTCATTTAAATTACTCAGTCACATCAGCATTTTCTCTTTTTCTCTTGGCCAGGCCATGAAAGAGTCTTTTTGCGTCACCTGTTTATGCATTGTGCCTTGCATCGAGGCAACAGAGGTGCTCACTAGGGCTCAACCGGCATATCTTGCCTCGCCTCCTCTCCGAGAGGCGCTGCATGCTCGCCTCCTCAGGCGAGAGAGGCGAACACCTTTCACAACTATGACATGTCCCACTATTTTCTCTTATGTGGAAGTGGCAACAGTGGTCGTAAAATGAGTAAAAAAACATTGACAGCACCCCCTTTAAACCACATCTCATAAATAGTACTCCCTCCGTCCATGTATGATCTTCCCATTACGCGTTACGAGGCTTGACCGACATTATTTTCAATTCAATTTAATTGATTATAGGAGTAAAATTTTAAAATAAAATTTATATAGTAATAAACTACATGAAAAGTTCTACAAAACTAGAGGTGACAAGACTATATTATTTTATGAAATGACTAGTAAAATTGAGCAAACAAAGTGAGTAAAGTTTGACCCTGTGAATAGTGAATAGTGTCTGAGAAGATCTATGGTGGATAGAGGGAGTAATTAGAACTATGAACCAAGTATTCAGTAGTGACGGTAGGAATGGTCGTACAATTGGAGAAACTGTAGGCCATTTAACTTGAATTGATGAGCAAAAACAAAATGAACCAGAAACCTATGTCCAGACTCTCCAGAGCACAAAACACAAGACAATGTGTGAAAGCTAATGTCGACTCATGTAGATCAATGGTGGCATGTGTGGCAGGTGAGAGATTGGATGACGCTGGAAATCATGGCATATGCTTGATTGGGGATAAGCACACTCTATGGGGCCCACACTATAATTAGCAGATGTACGGATTTGTGTTGATCTAAACAAACAGGGATATTCATTCAGTTAGTCCGAGTATGGAGGCTCATAACTGGAGCTTTGGTGATGAGGTGTCAAGCAGTGCATCAAGACGGATGAGGATCATGTGGTGGTTTCAGATCAAATGGACCACCACCAAAGAACTATACACATGGGGGGTCCATTCACTCCTGAAGTGTTTGGCTTTGATACCATGCAAAATAGTACACAACATTGATATATTCCGGTGTTTCTATCACTCAGTTGAAAGAAATTACAACTGTATATAGAGCAAACAACTAATCCCAAGTGAATATATTTACATCACCATTACACCATGTATAGTATATGGATGATTTTAAGATGCAATACTACTTAATAGCTGAATCCCACAAAATAACCATTGCTAGATTATCCAGATTATCCTACCATCCATACATAATCTGAGATATTAACCAAGAGAGATGTTTAGAGCTCTATGAAATGAAGACACACTCAAAGCACTCAAAATACTTATAAACCAGCTCCCTCAATTTCCAAGCCAACAACAACATTAAACCAATGCCCCAGCCCAAAGAGAAAAAATTGAAAAAGAAATGGCAAGTATTTACAAAAGAAGCAGGATAAATAAATATCTTTTAGACATAAACAGCTAAACCTACAAATTAATGTCTTGATTAATCAAAATACAATTGACTATTGAGTATTTAACCCAAGACTAATTGGCAACAATCAAAACAGAATCATCAAATCACATATTCACATGAGTAAGGAGGTAATTGATAAAAAATAGTTTGTAGGTCCGCACCTCCAAAGCTGTTCGATGATTATTCCTTCTCCAATATGCTGATCAAGCAAGGCACCCACATCATTTGGGGTAACATAACCATACCTGAATTGTTAGAGAATAGATTATGACAATTAAGAATGAGATTCTTATTATGTCTACATAAATAAAATATAGCAATAATTGCACTGTTTTAAATTGATGCATAAAATCAACCTATAAGAGCATTATAAATATCACAAACATAGATCCAGATCATACCAATGGCCAGCAGCTTTTCCTTCAACTTCGCTGAAGATGATGACATTACCAGCATACTTGTGGCCTCCAATATGTGAACAAGCAGTTACAAAAACTTGTTCATTCAATCCCTTGAACTCAATCTCTTCCTTAAATTTCTCGATTAGAACTGGTCCACAAACACCACACCTCATATCTCGTTTGCTATGTGCACAGACAAATACATATGCACCATGCAGTGACTCTTGCAGTCCGGAAGCCCATGGCTTGCCCATCACAAGCACATCCTCAACAAAACCATCCACTTCAGATTCCTTCAATCCCCTATAAGAAAAAATGAAAACAATAAAGACATGGAGCCAACTTCAAAAATCCAAACATCAACTGTTTACGGCAAAGTGAGAAGTTTATTCAAAGCAAGATCTTAGCTAATAATATAAAAAGCTCCCACCCCCATAAGATTGAAGTTGCAAATCCTCCTCCAGAGAGAAAGTTCAAATTAACAGCAGTTGTTACTGAATAAAATTATGAATCACAACTGCAAATAAAGATCAATAGAACAAAGATCATATTAAATCCACGGAATTACCTGTACTTAACCATTTCAGGGAAAATCAGAACATCACCCTCTGAAATGTCCAGTCCATCACCTACTTCGCAAATTGTCAACCGAGTCTGCAAAAAAAATCACCCAGGCAGAACATACATGAAAATTCACTTTATCCAAGCATTTAGAACCAGGCACATCACTAGATCATCAAATGCATTAACAATTCAACACTTATAAACAAGAGCTACTGCTAAAACTTTGAACTGATACTGACCTTGTATTTGATATCGTCCCTACGAGCTTTGATGGCAGCAGAAAGCAGCTTCGGAAGCAGATCCGACTCCGAGTCCTCAACGCGAGATGGCCAGGTTTCGTGCGACTGGTAGGCGAGGAACAGGTGGCGATCGTAGGGAGGTTCAACAGTGCCGGCAAGGTTGCTCTTGTACATTTCCGACCTCTGGAACCCGAACTTGACCTCGTCGCTGACGGGGGCAGCTTCAGTTATGTGCTCCGAATCTCCGGCCATGTTCGATGGTATAGGGTTTGAGGAGAATGAGAGTTAACCCAAGGGTTACTGGGTTAAGTAGAAAGAGGGATTTCTGTAAAGAAGCTATCCACTGTCTATAAATGAACAAATAAAGCTTTCTTTCCGTTGATAAAATAAAGAACAAGAAATGAAAAAAATCCTTATTAAAACTCTAAAGAAATAAAAAATGATTTTTCCTATTTAAAAAAAATTAAATTAAAATTAATTGAAGTAAGAAAATGATTCTCTTATTTCTTATTTTATTTTCATTTTTAAGATTTTAATAAGAACACAATTTTTTTTAAACTATTTTTTTTTAATTTTCATTTTTACCTATAAGAGAAAGTAATACTCCCTTCGTCCTAAAATTAACTTTCCATTTGACTTTTTACGATCTCCAATGCAATACTTTGACCATCAATATCTCAATTTTTATATAAATATATTTTATAAAGTGAAATTTGCACTAAATAGCACTAAAACATAATGACTTTCCTAATCTAGGACTTAAACTTTAATATTCCCTAAATAGGAGTTATTAATGTCTTAGTAGAAGGAATAATGTCCAGTAATGATGGACATTTACTTGAATAATGACTAATTCATAATGACCAAAAGTCCTACATTGGGAAATAAAAACATATGGTCTTATATTGGGAAAGTCTTTATGTTTTACTCCTATTTAGGTAAATTATTCTTTTATAAAAACAATATATTTCAAAACTATGTTTCAAAATCAATCTATTGCTAATAAATTTATATGAAAATTCAAATTTTTTTCCCGTAATATACGGTCAAAGTTTAAAAAATTTGACAACAAAAATCAAACTGAAAAGTTAATTTTAAGACGGAGGAAGTACATTAATACTCCTTATGTTGGCTAAAACTTTAAAAACCCTCACTCCACAAATTTTGTACTCCTTCTGCTCTTAAAAAATTGTCATAACTTAATTTTTTCGTTAAACTTGATACACTTTGACTACAAATTAAATATAATTTAAAATAAATATTTATTTTAAAAATTTTGAAATTTAAAAATTATACTCCCTCCGTCCTAGAGTATTTGTTCACTTTCATTTTTACATACCATCCAATACACTTCTTTAATCCATTGTATCTTGTAATTTGTATATTAAAAAATTATAGAAATTATATATTAATAATCTATATGTTAAGATAAATCAAACAAAATCACACATGATTATATTTAGGCTTACACATTGAGAGAATTTGGTGAGTCAAAGTGCTTAGATTAACAATTTCAAAAGTCAAAAGTGGACGAATATAGTGGGACAGATGGAGTATATTCTAAAATAAACCTAATTTTATTAAATTGAAATTATAACTAAATAATTTCGTTGGTGGGTTATGCACAGCTAGTAAAGAAAACACTCTCCCCAATCCCAATGTTTTCTTATCTTTTACTTACTCCACGCTTCTTCTCCAAATTTTGATTGCCACTTTTTTCGAATGAGATAATATCATTCGAAAGCTAAAGATAAAAAGAAAATCCCATTTGAATTCCTTTTCCAGTCTCCCCTTTTTATCTACCACTCCGGGAACAAACCGATTCCCTTTCTCCGCTTTTTTTTCTTAATTTCTTTCTCCCAAAGTTTCATTCTTGAAACCAAATCATATCCTCTCCCAATCTTTAGCCTTTAATTTAGATTCAATGGTTTAAGTTTTCGCCACCGGATCTGTGCAGGGAAAACAGAGCTGCCTATGGCGTCCACTCCAGTCGAGTGCAGTGAATACAAGCGCCTGACGAAGAAGAAGATGGGCAGGCCTTCCCCGGGCGGGAGGTTTTCCGGGCAAAGGCCGGCGTCTGGGTTGCCCAGAGTTTTGCGGATATCGGTCACTGACGGGGACGCCACCGATTCCTCCGGCGACGAAGGGGCTGGGCGGCAGAGAGTGAAGAAGTACGTGACTGAGGTCACGTTTGATGCGTGGGGACTAGATGACGGTACCAGGGTTTTCGGGAACGCGGCGGCGAAGCGGCGGAGGAAGGGAAAGGCGGCGCCTCCGCCGCGGAAGGCTGAAAATGGGAGGAAGTTCAGAGGCGTGCGGCAGAGGCCGTGGGGGAAATGGGCGGCAGAGATCAGAGATCCGTTGAGCCGCCGACGGGTATGGTTGGGGACGTTCAACACCGCCGAAGAAGCCGCGGTGGTTTACGACTACGCCGCCATTCAGCTGCGTGGGCCCAACGCGGCGACCAATTTCACCTCCCCGGCGGATTCCGGCTATAACACCGGCGAGGAGTCGCACAACACCCAGCGATGCTCTCCCAAATCGGTCTTGTTCTTCAACGAAGGCGCCGATTCGCTCCTCCTCCGCGAAGCAGACGCCGTCAAACTGAGCCGCGCTTTCCCCGGCGAAACATCGGAGGTTTTCCCGGAGGACGACTCGTTCGGGTTGGGAAACCCGGCGCCCATACCCGACCTGTTTGATGTGACGGGTTGGTCAGACAAAATCTTTGAAGAAGAATGTCCTGACATGTTCGTCGGGTCAAGTCACAAGCTCGGGTTCGGGTCATCCACGTGGCAGGCGGACGATTATGGGGTTTTGTTCGGGTCGGATCCACGATTTTGAAATTTGAATCGACCATAGCGAAGTTTGCTCCCCTGTACGTAAGATGGGAGAAAAAGACCGGGCTAGTTCTTTTTAAAAGAACCGCGTTACGTAGGACAAAATTTGTTTGACTTTTTTCAAGATCGGTCGGATTAATCGGGTTCTCATAAAAAGTAGTGGCTTTTTGAGATGTGTAGTTTGTTTAAGAATGTTCTTTATTTTTAGTATGTAGAATTTTTAATTTTTTGTTCTTTCGAGAAATAAAAATAAAAATTCTTATTTTTGATCATTTAATTTCTTTGACTTTATACTTTGTTGATTCATAATGAGTATTTGTATAACATAATACTCCCTCCGTCCCGCTATATTCGTTCACTTTTGACTTTTGGAACTGTTCATCTAAGCACTTTGACTCATCAAATTCTCTCAATGTGTAAGTCTAAATATAGTCATGTGTGATCTTGTTTGATTTGTCTTAAAATATAAATTATTAATATATAATTTCTATAATTTTTTAATATACAAATTACAAGATAAAGTGGATTAAAGAAGTGTATTGGATGGTGTGCAAAAATGAAAGTGGACAAATACTCTGAGACGGAGGTAGTAATTTTTATCTAAACTAGAATTTGGATAGTATCACCAAAAAAATAAAATTTAAAAGTGCATTTAAGAGTTTTAGTTTTTATCGCTTGTTGGTATAAAAAGTACTCCATAAATTATAGTATTATGCCCAAAATATATTGATAGGATAACATAATTATATAAAATTAAATTTTAAAAGATAAATATATTTCAAATATATTATTACATCTCTAGTATTAGTACGGTCTTAATCTAATCCTTTGAAAAAGACCATCTAGTTCAAAATCGGTCTAGCCTCTCATCAAAACCCAAGGACTAGATGAGATTCTCGTTCCAAGACCGCGCCGGTCTCACAGGCTACTTCGCTCTCATCTTTTTCGATCCAATTCTAATTTATCTTGATTTATCTTTTCCACCCTAGTGCTTAATTTCATTTATACTTGTATGTAACTTACCTCTTATGTTTAGCGACTTTTATTTTTAAGTTTGTCACCATATTTATAAAATGCCAGAATTATATTAATTTTGACATCATAATTCATACATTGAAAATAATCATTGGCAGGGAATTATTGTATACAAATGATTTGTTTCTAAATGATTGGTTTGTAGCATGGCTAGTTAATTTGACACATGTTCCCTTTGATCACAATTTTCTTCTCATCACTATCTATACGGTTAAACTTTATTCAATTAATTTATTTTTTATTACATATTTAATAAAATAATATAATCAAGTCATCTTTAATTTATAGATTTTTTATTTAATTTTTAAATATATAATTTTGTTTTTTTAATTACACACTAATTTTTAGATAAAAAAATTAAAAAAGATTCAGTCAAATATCATAATGCGCAACGAAAAAATATGGACTATTTTTTATGAGTAATGCAAGAGTCATAAATAACTTAGACACAAACTATACAAACTTGTTGTTTGTGTATTTTAATTTTTATTTTTCAATTAATTAAGAACATTTTGTTCCCTTGGAAAAATATTTAAATAACAAGTTTGTGTAGTTTATGTCCAAGTTGTTTAAGTTGGTTTCAATGGAAAATATGTGTCGAACACGTGTAAAACACGTGAGGTTAGAGGCTTTGTGAAAGAATGCAATGGAATGAAGGACTGGACTCATTTGACACGCGTGTCAATTCACATTTCTTTGTCTTTTTTGAGTTTTTATGGTGTTTGACATTATTTTTCGCATTTAATTTTATTCTCTTAACCTCTTAAAAATATTTCTCTATTTTGATTTATTAGCCTGCCTCATGCATCCCATTCCAATCCTCCTCTCTAATGGGTGACAATCCGTTAAATTTTAGGGTGGGTCAAAGAGTAGGGCTAAGACTTAGAGAGGGTTGTAACAGAATAACCAGCAGATCTAAGCAGAGTGTAACATAAACAATTTTCTCCAATGAATTTTAAAAATTTTCTTAATAGTACACCAATTTTTTTAAATAATTAATATATGCCCCTATAAAAAAAGTGAAGTGTCCCCAATAAAAAAATTAAGTAGAAAATTAAATATCTATCATTAAAACAAGAGAGTTAAAGTAAACCATTTAAAATATGGCAAAGTTCCGTTGACACTAGTATCAGTGTAAGCAGATGACACTCGTCCATTTCGAACATCTTTAGTGGTCTGTTCACAAAATTGATGATTCTTACCTCCTAACTATCTCTCTAAATCTCCCACCCCTTCCTTCATCTAAATATGTGACTATTATACAATGTATAATAACCACACATTTGGAGGGGATGAAGGGGGGTGGGACTGGGGTAGGGGGCAAGGGTGGAGTTGGAGTGGAAGGTTTAGTGGGGAAAGTTAGAGAGGTATGAACAATCAAATTTTGTGAACGAAGCATCAGAGGTGTTTCAAAAAGATAGTGACATTGGAGTGTCAACAGAACATTGTCGTTAAAAATTACTTGAATATAATGTAAAATAAGAGTTATCAAGAGAAACTAAAATTATAGGAAATAGTTTCTAAATTTCTTCAATAATTATTTGAATGCTTCATTGAGTGGAAATTAATTTCTACAATCTCTTTGCTATTTTGTACAGAAAAATATAAGGGGGCAGCACCCGAACCCCCCTCCCCCGTGTGGGACCCACACGCGATCTTTGCGACCTCGATCCACCACTGGATAACAACCACTTTTGAATTTCAATATTTCAACTACATTCTTCAAGAGAAAGCTATTAATATTACATTTACATTGAAAATAATGTATTTTTTCTATATAGAAGAGTAAAAATTTACAAACTTTCACCAAGAAAAACAAATTTGAAGATTAAATCGAGACAAGAGGAGTATATTCTCTTGATCTTTAAAATAATTTCACTTTTTAAAGATTGTGTCTCAGTAAATTCTACACTTTTTCTTAATAAAAAAAAAAAGAACATAATTGATGTGAGGTGAGGTACATCATCATTCCCCAAAGTCATCAATACTCCGTAAGTGTTTTAATATCATTGCCGGAATATTTTTTAAAAAATTAATTACTCCGTAGTCCGTACTATTAATTTCCATTTTCACCGAAATGGCAGATAGCAGTTGCAGCGCATTTAACATTCAATGGACCCCAATTTCTTCTTCTTATACACATCAAAATCTCTAGAAACAATTTTTTTTTAAATTTAAAAATAATAATAATAATTTAAAAGCAGGCAACCAAACTGATACAACATGTTTTTTTTATACAAACTCTACACTTGTACAGTGTGTGCCCCCAAGATCCACTGTTCATCTTCTTCTCCATTCACTGCTACACCATCTCCAGCAGTTTTATACAGCCGGTGGAATTGGCGGCAACAACCACGTTCGATTTACGCCTCCAGCAGACGCTTGAAACAAACTGCCCTCTGTCATCATCAGTTTCTTTGCCAGAGATCGGATCTATCGACCCAAACTTGCATGAAGTTATTGGCATCGGGTGCGACTTGTAATACGTAAATACCTGAGAAAATTAATCACAACACTTGTGCTTTAGGTTGAAAAGAGATCCAGAAGNCCGGCCCCACACAAAAAGGCCGAAACAACGACTAAAACAAGGTCATCAAAGAGGTGTGAGGATTCTTGGTGAATTAGCATGTGCATATAATGAAGAGTTGAAGACAATAGACAGTGAAGGTTTAAACAAAAAAACAACTCCTACCTCATTAGTCTCAGAGCCACAAGAAATATATCCATCAGCTACAGATAAGCCCACAAAGTTCTGAAAGACAATAGAAAACAAATCGCACACTTAATTACTGATTATTTACATCCATTTAATGGTGTACATAAACCAAAAGTTTCAAACTGTTTCATGGGATGTGAAGAAAAACCACATAGAGCAACTAACCTTTTCATTGGTATGTCCTCTCAGGGTTAAGATACAAGCACTGGTTGACAAGGAGTCTGCGCTTGTTTTTTTGAGATCCCAGATCTTGAGTGTGTTATCCGTAGATGCAGAAACTAGAGTTTCGGCATCCAAGAATTTCACATAGCTAACCGCTTTCTCATGGCCAACCAATATACGCCAGGGAATTGAAACATTTCGAAGGTCGTAGCAATAGATCCTATAGTCAGCTGAGCTATAAGCCAGCAAATGACTGGAGCTAGGTGAGAACTGGACAGAGCAGACATTCGCATTGTTTTTTATCGTGCCTATACTGTTTTTCTGCAGCAACCAATACAGAATCCAGTTAAAAAATCCCACTAACACAGAAATTCTGCAAATTTGAGACCGGACGAAAATGGCATAGAAACAAGGAAAAGTTGGGAACATATCTTTTTACTTCAAATAGTTTTTATTCTACCCAATACCAATGTGGCAATGTAGTATCATGTTAACAAAGAACTGTGTTTCAAAAACTTTTTGCCCGAAAACAATGTCACATTTCAACAAAACAAGCTATTTTTTTGCAGAGTATGTACTTTCACAGTATAAGTGCCGAACTTCAATAAGATTAAATTTATTTCGGCCAACAAATAAAGTCCAAAAAGACCGATAAGTTTGTCAGATGTCTTTGCGGAAACAGTCTCTCAACACATAAAGGTAGAGATAAATCTGCGTACATCTCACCCTTCCCAAACCCTACTTTAGAGTGGATGTGCTGAAAATGTTTGGGTTTATTCAGTTTTAACAGCAAATACATTGCATGCTTTGCCACACAACTAAACTACGTTTTTTTGGCCATTGAGGATATAATACGTTCAAACACTTAATCTGAGCTCATGGAGGAAAACGGTATATTAAGAAGAGAGACAACGATAGTTAAGGGGGAATAAGTTATTAACACTGTTATCATTCACGGAATGATAAAACATTGTATGATCAAAGTCAAGACCAACTAAGCTTCAAATAGAATTCACAGCCTTATGTTGCATTTGACACACATTCCTTCCCTTGTGCTCCACACCCTCTTTTTCTTTTCCAGCTTGTATAAGGGTATAGCTCTCAATGGCCAGACTCAATGACGCATGTAAAACAAAAATGATATACATATGAGGAAGGGAAAACAAGCTTGCCTCATTAATACTCCAAAGTTTCACAAGACGGTCATCACTTCCACTCGCTAACTTGGTGGGATCCATGCGAGAAAAATCAACAG